ATTTTTTTCTTCAATTTTATGAAAAAAATTTCACATAAAAATATTTTCTGTTTTTATTTATTTAAGTTTGTAACATACCAACAATTAGTATTTCTTCTTTCTTAAAATATTTTTAATATTTCTTCTTAAAAAAATATAATTTAAATATTGGGACCAAAAAATCAAAAACCCACATCCAATGGTTGAACACATATCACCAGATAAATATACTGAATGAACAGTAACACCAAAGAACCAACCGATAAACACTATTTTCTTCATCTTCCTCTTCTAGCACAAGATTCAAGCTTTTGAATTTTACATAATATTTGGTATTTGGTAATCCAAATTTTCCTAGTTATAGTTATTTCTCTGAAATTCTCTATCCCTTCATTTTCAAGCTTCAATTTTTATTTTTTTTATAATTTTGTTAGGTAATTCAGTTTATAGAACATTGGAAGATTTTATGGATATATAGGGTTGATTTTGGAATAGAAATGGCATGTATTTCTTTACCTTGTTGTACTGGGTCATTTTTGACCCCAAATAGGTTACAAATTAGAAATTTTAGGGTTCATAGAGGTTTATGCACTAGTTCATTTGTTTTGCCTTCAATGAAGTTTAATTTTCAACATGAGTTTGTATTGAACAAGAAATTTGAGTGTTATGGTAGAGAAAATAGAGTTCCGGTGTCGAGGTTTCGGTATTATTGTTGCAAGTCTCAACAGAATGGTGTTCATAATGAAATTGAGCCACTTGTTAGTAGAAGTAGGGGTGATAGTGGTAGGAAGAGTGGTTATGGTAAAGAGGAAAGTAAGAGGTTGAAGAAGAGATTTTCGTTGAGGTTGCGGCCGAGGTTAAGGTTATTGGTTATGAGAATGAAAAGGGCTTCTGTTGAATCTGTTTTAAGTAAGGTTGGAATGTTTGTTATGAAGAATATTAGAATGGTGGCGTTTTCTACCTCGTTTCCGATTGTTTTTACACTTTGTTTTCTGTTTTTCAAGTTTACTTCAATTCCTCCGCCTAAAATTGTTCCGTATTCGGATTTGATTGGAAGTCTTCAGAATGGAATAGTTGCAAAAGTTTTAGTCGAAGAGGGGTCTCGATGTATATATTACAATACGGTGTCTGATGTTGAGGTTGTTGAAGATGATAAGGCTTCTGGTGAAGAATCACAACGAGTAGTAGATGTTGCGATGGACAAGGATATAAACGAGGTTATGAGTGAGGATGGTTCAAGGTCTAGCCAGATTCCAGTGTTGAAAAAATTGAAGAAATTCTCAAAGAGACGAGCTTCTATTCCTGAGTGGCAGTATTCCACGAGAAAAATAGACCGCGATGAAAAATTTCTTATGAGTTTGATGAGAGAAAAGGGGGTTACATTTAGCTCTGCGCCTCAATCTGTGTTAATGTCAATAAGGACTACTCTGATAACTATGATTGCACTGTGGATACCGTTAATTCCGTTGATGTGGATTATGTATCGTCAACTTTCTGCCGCTAATAGTCCAGCAAAGAAGCGGAAACCGAATAGTCAGACAGTTGGATTCGAAGATGTCCAAGGTGTTGATTCTGCTAAAGTAGAACTCATGGAGGTAATTATCTCATAATTATGCAACATATACATGTAATGTTTGCGTTTTTTTTGCTAATGAAATTTATCTGATTAGAAATCTCTTAAAATAGATCTGTTGGAAATTGAATATAAGATTATCACCAGTTGTAGAATTTAGCTTATGACATGGTACCAAAACATAAACTCAAGATTTTTGAGATGTTACACTGATTATAGCGGGATAGTGGAGCGGAGGCCTACCACTTTGGGAAGAGCCTTAGTGGTGCAGAACACTATAGCGGCCTCTATAGAGTAAATAGTGGGTAGCGGGGGCGGAGCGGTTCTCGGCCCGAAGCATTTTCTAGCTCGCTATCCTTTTCCCGTCTGAAAAACCGAAATTACCCCTTAAATTTAAAACATTTTAAGGGTAATTTTGGGTTTTCAATCAAATTTGAGTCGAGACTCAACCCTAACCTCTCTCTACACTTTGTTGATTAAGAACTTCGATTAAGTCTTTTTGGTTTTTGAATGTTTTTTGATTATGTCTTGTGCTTTGTTTTATGAATATTTTATGGGTTTTTTAGTTATTTGTTTTACTTTACATTAAATATATGTTTATAATTATTATTCATGTAATTTGTCCAAAAAATGATCAAATATCAACTCTTTATCTCAGAACAATAATTATGTTCAAATCCATTTGACAATCTATCAAGGTAAGGAATTTTTTTAATAATGCGAAACAACATTCATTGTTTCTGTCAATAAAATGAAAAGCATATCATCTATTCCTGGGGCTCAGTTATAACAGATCTTTCAATCACAAAATGTCAGGAGTTATGTTGTTATTGATCTTTTTTGATTTTATTGTTTATAATTTTACATCTTCTACGATTACCTCATACCCTTGCTTTTGTGGTAAAAGGTACATTTAGACAACTAATGTACTATACAAGGGGTAGTCTACTAGTGTTTACAGTACAAAGCTTATGTTTTGTGTACCAATACACAATGCTTGGAACTGCCACCACGTTGCTGTATCGACACTGCCACCACCACCACAAACACTGTTGTTAGGATGTATTGGTCTACATGTCCACCGCTTTGTGTTTTGCACCATCTCCGCAATACCATGCTTCAACACTCTTCTAACCTCTCCCCCGTTTTTATGAAATTCAATCCGATTGTCATGCTTTGGCCAATCGACTTTCCTGGCAACACAGTCAAGTGGCCCTCCTCAAGGCTGACCGCTTGGAATGTTTTGCCCATTTGCCCTGCCGCCACAACTTTAAGTTGTGTACTGTAAACACCACTATAAAGGGGTGTTCACAAATCAATGTAATCTGATAAAAGTGGAAAATCGATTGTATAATAGGAAACTGATCAAACAGAAATCAAACAAACCGAAAACTTTTGTGCTTGCTGCAATGCTAAATAGTGGCCGATATTGCAGGTTTTTCTGCCATAATCCGCTATAATGGCAACGTAAAGCGGCTGCGGTATGGCGGGATTTTGGCTAATTGGCTCTCTGCCATAGACCACCATCAACATTGAAGATAGAATTAAGTAGACAATTAAACAGTCGGGTAAAAGTATATTTACATGAATAAAGATAACTCATAACACTAGTGGATAAGATATTTGATACAGATGAATAGAAATAGAAACAATTTTGTTAACCGATAAGGATGAAGCATGTCTGAATATTACATCACATTCTGGCAGTCAATCATCCCACAGTCATAAAGTACGAAGGACTAAATTGTAAATTTGGAAAATGAATTTTCAGTCAAACTAGAGCAGAGTTTAAAAAATTTGACCTCATGCGTTTATCTTTCATTCATTTCTAAGTTTCGTAGAACCTCTTTTGCCACTGGTTAATCAACTTTATTATTCTCCTTACTCCTTAGATTGACACTCTCCCTTATTTGTAGGTAGTTTCATGTCTGCAAGGCGATATAAATTACCAAAAGGTAGGTGCAAAGCTACCTAGAGGAGTGTTGCTTGTCGGTCCTCCAGGAACCGGGAAGACATTACTTGCACGTGCAGTAGCAGGGGAAGCAGATGTACCCTTTTTCACAGTCTCTGCCAGCGAGTTTGTAGAAATGTTTGTTGGAAGAGGGGCTGCTAGAATCAGAGACCTTTTTAGTACAGCAAGGAAAAATGCACCATCGATCATATTCATCGATGAACTTGATGCAGTTGGAGGCAAACGTGGAAGAAGCTTCAATGACGAACGTGACCAAACGCTGAACCAGGCAAGTTTAGGCATCATTTTGTATTTCTTATGTTTGGATAAACGACTTACAGCATAATCACTTATCATATATAATTTTTGTTTGCTCTAAGCTGACTGACACATAATTTTTTTCGTCTATGTAGTTGCTGACCGAAATGGATGGGTTTGAATCAGAGATGAGAGTGGTTGTCATTGCAGCAACTAACAGACCGGAAGTCTTGGATCCGGCCCTATGTCGCCCGGGTCGTTTCTCAAGGAAAGTATTTGTAGGAGACCCCGATGAAGAAGGAAGGAGAAAGATATTAGGTGTGCATCTAAAAGGAGTTCCTTTGGAGGAGGATGCTAACATCATATGCCAGTTGATTGCTACTCTTACTGCCGGTCTTGTAGGTGCTGATCTTGCAAACATTGTCAATGAATCCGCTTTGCTTGCTGCTCGAAGAGGTATACAAACAACTTATCACTTTTATTGTGATTATAGTATTTTTGCATTCACCAATGATAATTCTTTATTAGATTGTATCTCTCTTAAGTAGTTGTCTAAAAGTCTGGTTGGATTGATTTATTTGAGCTTATCAATTTGCATAGATAGTTAAAACTGTGAGAGACTTTATCGAAGCAACTTATGATAATGTCTATTAGCTATTTTCAACTTATTCTCATAAGCTCTTTAAAATAGTTTATGAAAACAACTTATAGCTTATTACGAATTTAGTTTGACTTTATTTTATCTTTTTGTTATAAAAACATCTTATACATAAGCAGTTATATGAAAAGTGCTATGCTATAAGCACTTAACTAAGCTATTTATATGACATGATAAACATAAATAAGCTCTTAAGTGATTCTTAGTTGCATAACAAAATGTGATATGTATTAACATTTGTGCTATGCAGGTAGTGAAACTGTGGCAAGGGAAGATATAATGGAAGCAATTGAAAGAGCAAAGTTTGGAATCAATGATAAGCAACTAAGGTCTAGTAAAATAAGCAAGGAGCTAAGTAAGCTATTCCCTTGGATGCCATCATTGATGGGAAGAAGTGATAGGAAACAAGATGACATACAAGGTCCACTAGGTTATCAATCATTGAGTTCATGAAAGGCTTTGTGCCTGTCAAATTTACCTTTACAATTTTTTCCCCCTTTCACTGTTCATACCTTTTTCATTGTATGCAAAAAAGTTTGTTCGCATCTTATCTGATGTTCTCAAGAAAACACTTTTCACAGAAAATGAGAAGTCATTGTATTTATTTACTGGTTAAATATTAAATCTGTAGTCTCTTGAATTTTTCATTATTCTATTTTTGTAATACTGATATTATTTTTGTTATATAAGTTTATCTTTTATTTACTATAAAAATTAAATTATTCGCAATTTTATTAATATAATAGCACAAAATTTTAATACTAATTTTAAGAATTTTATTGATAAAGAATACTAAAATTTTATGTTTTTTTATTTTGTTTTTAAACTAAAATTTATGTTTTTTTAAGATAATTTCTACTAATATTATTTCTTATATAATTTTATCTTAGTTTAAAATTAATTTCAATTCATTGTTATTTTAATCATTATTTTTATAAAAAATAAACATATTTAACTAAAAATGGGAGACACTGATGGTTAAATTTAAAAATATAAAATTAAAAAATGAGAGCATTCTTAGTTTGCCGCATCTATAACAAATAATTCAAATAATAAAAAATTATTTTTAGTTAATATTAATTGTATATAACAGAGTAGTAAAGTAATATGAAATAATTTTCACAAATAAAAAAATAATAGAGAAAAATATATACAATAGTTAGTGTAATAAAATATAATTATAATCTTAGATGATTAAATCATTAATAATAATTATTTTAATTATTTTATTTAATATTTATGAATGTTAATTATTATCATTACAATATCTATCTAATTGTAAGTTGGTTAAAAGAATTAAATTTACGTTGTTATATTTGCTTTAAAACTTAAATTTACGTTTTTTAAAATATAAATTTCTGTTTTTATAAATATAAAATTAAAAAAATGAAAATATTTTTAGTGTATCACATAAATAATAAACTATTTTGATAATTTAAATTCACTATAAATTAATAACATGTATGATTGAGAAATATAAAATAATATAAAAATATTTCAAAAAAAAATTAATAATAGGAAAAAAAATTCAAAAGCCAATCTAATAAAACATGATTATATTTGTATACAATTAAATCATTAACATTTATTTTTTAAATTTTTCATGGAGTGTTTATACATTTCAATTATCACCATTAAAATGTCTATTTATTTGTAAGTTATCTAAAAGACTTAAATTTACGTTCTTATTTTATTATCTATTTATTAAATTTTCTAAAATTTGAAAATAAACATAAATAAATGTTACATAAATATAATTATAAAATATGTGAAATGATGAAAATAATTTAGACTTATATAGATTGAATTTAAAATATATTTTTACAAAAAAAGTTAACTATTAATTCCAATAAAAATAAAATTAACAATTTATTAACGCTACTTCATCTTGGTTTTGCAAACTTTATTATTAAGTCAAATAAAAAAATATTTTTTTTTTATCTTTTACAATTTTAGTTAAAATGATAAAAAAATTATAAATAAGTTTTATATTAAACATAAATATTTTTTACATATTCAAAATGACATTTTAGTCTTATACAAATTCTTTTAATATACACATAAATGATATTAGATATTATATTTTTTTGTATTGACTTAATTAAAAACTAATAAGATATTTTTATTATTAACACATTGCGACGAAAATGGTAACACTTTATAAATAAATAAATATTATTCTCTCAATTTGATTGAGCCAATTCTACGCTCCATCAGGATCATACCTACCCTCGAATGTAGACGGAGGATTCCTCTGGAATGTCTCAAAAACACGGGACCCATCATTTCCACCAACATTAGGCTGATGTTGCACGACCTGAGCCATACCCTGCAAAGCAAGATCTAGAGCAACATCGTTTCGTACAGCCATTTCTCTGTTTCACACCATAACATCAAACAATAGTTAGAAGAAACACATATACAATATTCAACCGTTACAATACACTATTGACTCGACAAATTGATCAGACAGACCAACCTGCTCTGATATCAATTGTAACAACTCATTTTCGCATAATTATAATTATAATTATAATAGAATATACAGAATAATACATCAGAGTCTATAAATGAGATGTCACATCAATCAAGTAAACTCATAAAATCTCAAGTCACATTATTACTTCTTTATTCATAGTAATCAACTAAACAGCAGAATAACTCAAATTAATTGACTCCATGGCGCTGAGGCCTCAACAATAATAAAAACTCCACAAAATGTGTTGTTCAACATAATCATAAATTAAGATACATGACAATTAAAAACAATGCAAGAACATAGCAAATTCCCAAATTCCGTGTTACGTATCAGAGCGACTCCTAAGACTCGATTGAGAAACACTCACTCTAAGCACTACTTGGACACCTGGTTATCTGTACTCCCAGAGAAGCACAGACACAACAACAGAAAAGGGGTGAGAATTACATTCAATAAATATACGGTGAATGTCACATGCTAAGGAGTAGTATTTCACACAATCCACATAAATCATAGAATACACATTTCACACAATACTTTGCAACATATTTTTCCTTCATATAGCACAATCATCAAATCAAGAGAGTGCAATATAATGCAATCGATAACAACTAAATACATGTGGTATCAACAAGGCATGAGCCCTCAATACAATGCCAAATTAGGCAGCAACAGGGCATAAGCCCTCGACATAACACCATTACAGGCTAGCAACCAACAACAGGGCATAAGACCTTACCAATGAATGTATGCATCATCAACATGCAACACCACAACTATGCAGCCACAAGACATAAGCCCACTATATTTGCTAATAATGCCACCAATATTATTACAATCATGTAACATACAAATCTACACAAGGTTCCATATTTTAACCCAATATTCATTATTATTAACCTTCATATATCTACTTAAGTCATATTATTCAATACGGATGAAGAGAAACTCCACTGCACGTGAAAACGGGAAAGAAATTGCGAATCTGGGATCTTCTGCACTTCATCCTGCCCATACGCGTATGGCCCTTCCCCATACGCATATGACTTCTTCTTCGCTATAGCCCATACGTATATCATACGCGTAAGGCCAAAATGCCTAGGTCTCATACGCACACTGGCTAGTCCATACGCGTACGGCTAGAAGGTTGTGCTGGTTTGGGGACAGGGCGCATACCATACACGTATGGCCCATGGGAACGTCCCCCATACGCGTACCATACGTGTATAGCCAGTCTGCTACACTCCAAATCCTGCTATCGCACCAGTATGTTTTCTACTTGTTTTGAGCACTTTCAACCTTCTAATTTGGGTCTAAAATAGTGTTTTTACACATAATAATTTATGTGTTTCATCTAATTTCATTGATCTATCATCCTATAACAGTTTTCTACATCCAAATCCTCATTGTTCATCATCTTCCTAAACATATATTTTCTAGATCTGGGATTCTTATGGAACAACATCACAACAATAACAATTAATAGCAACAATCACAATATTGGCATCATTCAATCCACAATTCCACATAGAATCACATAGAAACAACATCAATCAAACAAAAGAAGAATCATATATCAATTTTACATAAAATCTAAAGAGAGAAAGGAATCCTCACTATCCTCTCATGTTATAATCACTATTTAGAGAACTCATTATCCCCCCTTATCTTAGTTTGGAGCTTTCATTTTTTAAAGATGGTGGAATCTCTCTTGCCCTAATTCTCCCTTCTCTTCTCTTCTCTATTTCTACGTGACAATAGTTTTTCTCCTAAATGTTCCTACTATTCTTCTAATCATTGTTTCATTCTAATTAATAAATAATAATAATAATAACAACTATATTATTAATAATAATAATATTATTAGTGGTACTATACCATATATCTAATAATATTTTTATTAATAATTATAGTATATTTCATCATTTATCAATATTATTATTATTATTATTATTATTATTATTATTATTATTATTATTACACCATAGACTAAGTTTTATTCTAGTTTTCTAATTAAAACTAAGTTCTCACACACCTTTAGCCATGTCTACCTATCCTTAATTATGCCAAAATAATTCAAAGTCAACAAATAACGACTAAATATTCAAATGGGACGTTACAACTATCCCCCACTTAAAATATTTTTGTCCTCGAAAATTACCTTATGCAAACAATTCTGGATAAGATTCCCGCATATTTCTCTCCAATTCCCACACCATACTTTCTTTGGCTGCTCCTCCCCAAACTACTTTCACGAGAGGAATTTCCTTGCCCATCAACTTCTTTATCTAACGACTTTCGATTCTTACCGATAAGGTCTCAACTGTAAGGTTATCCCTCAGTTGTACATCATCCACGATATCACATGAGATGGATCCGAAATGTACTTCCGAATTTGTGACACATAGAATACATCATGTAAATTCGAAAGATTAGGTGGTAAGGCCACTCTATAGGCAATAATCCATACTCTATCTGAAATATGATACTAACCAATAAACAGAGGAGTACGTTTATTCGATTTCAATGCTCGTCCAACACCGGTCACCGGGGTGACTCTAAAAATTACATGATCTCCCTCCTGAAATTCAAGGCCTTTCCTTCGCTTGTCACGATAAATCTTATGCCTACTCTGTGAAGTTTTTCATCTTTTCCCTAATTAACTTCACTTTATCTATAGTCTATTGGACAATTTCCAGTCCGAGCATTATGCTTTCTCGGGATTCATACCAACACAACGAAGTTCTGCACCTTCGACCATACAATGCTTCGAATGATGCCATTCCAATTCTAGAACGGTAGCTATTGTTATAAGTAAACTCTATCAGTGGAAGATAACTATCCCACGTTCCTTCTTGCTCAAGTACATAAGCTCTAAGTAATTCTTCCAACGACTGAATAGTTCTCTCCGATTGTCCATCTCTGTGTAGATGATATGCTGAACTCAATCCCAGCTTAGAGCCCAACACATCCT